ATTCAAAGGATTTACTGTTCTCACTTGGGTCCTCTCTCTGCACAAGATTTTTTTCTCCTGGGTTTAGTCATAACTGGGGGAACTTTTTCTCAGGGCTTCTGGTTGCCACTAAATTCTGTCTCTGGAGGCAACTGAGCTAAGGAATTTCTTTGCCTACCTACTTTGTGCCTCATTTCAGCCTCTGCCTTCAGTGAGTGCTTAGAAACATCTTTGATGCCCTTTGTATATATTCGTTGATTTTATCACTAATTCAAGCCTTATGACAAAATCTAGAGTAGGAAACAGGACTGTTAGGTATTGTAAACTTAACTTCTCACATGGGCTGGATTTGGGAAGCAATGCTGAGTAACGGAATGGGCTTAAGGTCCACATTAATGCTCTGCCATTCAACTGTGCCATGTAACCTTGAGATCATGAAGTAACCTCCCTGAGCCTCAGCTTCTTCCTCTGAATACTCTTCAAGGTGCTTGTGAGGATGAATAGCAATGTGCTTAGTATTGCATTTGGCCTGTCATTGGTGCTTGGTGAAACTGAGCACCTTTCTTCCAGCATCTCTAGAGCCACAGAACTCCATTCCAGTTTCAAACAAATACCATATGTTTTGAAGCTTGTGTTTTTGCTCCCACGGACTCTACCCTTCTTATCTTAGCCTTCTACTTCATTGTGACGCAGAAGGCTGTTCCAACTAATATGCCTCTCTTGGGGCAACCAGCAATGACACTGTTCACTCTTTTGTGCCAAGTTAAACAGACTTGCTTTGGGGATGACAGACTATCCTGTAACTGGGAAAAGCAATGATTAGTTCTGTTCTTCACTATCACAGAAGGAGCCATGAGAATGAATGCAATCAGATTAAGTTGAATCATATGAAATCACCTTTTTGTAGGTCAAATGTAGTTCAAATGCAGTTTCACATGTTTCAGCCTTATAGTTTGATAGGCCTTTTAATCTAATAGTAGATGGTCACTAGTAAATGTCATTTGCAAATTTCCATGGTCAATGATGTAAAGCAGCTCTTTGGTCAGCAGGGCAGGCTTGGATTACATGAGACAATGAGTATAAAAGTGCTGTATAGGCCATGAACACTAGTTAAATGCAAAGTATTTCCTGAATTAATTGTGGACACGTAATATTTTAACCCGGGATTGATAAACTTTTTTTAAAATTTAGATAAATTTCAGTAACTGCATTTTTAACATGAAGTTTCACAAGAGAAAAAAGTCTGTTCTTGGTGTGCTATATGTTGATTTCTCTAGATATGTTCAACTGGAATATACCCAGAGGAATACACATCCAGGTGAGGGCTGAGAGGAAGGACCATCCAGATACAAAATAAAGTAGAGCTTCTTAGGGTTTGGTTTCATTGAATAGCTCATACAAAGCTTGGTCCCAGGAGAGTAAATAATTCCATTGTCAGCTGTTAATCCATTTAGCCAAAAGTTAGACAAATGTGCAAAATCTGTTCCATTCCTCCCAGGAACCCAGGGTTAATTCTAAGCTACCGTGGCTAACTCCTGGTATGGATGTGAAGGGCCCAAATGACAAGAAAGTTTGCATCCCTCCCAACTCATCACAACACAAGTGCATACTATTCTTTCTATTCTCATATAGTCAGGTTCTTAGGGCGATCATCTCTATCTAACTTCTGGGAAAGGTGACTTAGCCATTTTTTAATCCACAGATTGAGGATGTCATTCAACATGTAGTCCCCAAACAAAGCTAATCTCTATTACGGAAGCCATTTGGTGCATGAATCGACTTTGAAACCAATAACTGACTGCTACTTTTGGCATAAACAAAAAACTTAAGCAGTGTGCCCGTGCTCTATGGACAAGTTCATTTATTTTTGTTCAATGTGCACTTTCATAACAAGCTGAGCTTGGCTCATGTGAACAGCCTCTAAATTGTTTATTTACCTCTGTGTTCTCCATTCTTCAAGATAACACCAAATTGTTTATAGGGCAAAGCGGGAAATCCAGGACTTGTTAATGAGGCAGAAGGCCAGGTTCAGTGGGGGAGTGAGCACAGCCAGAACAACAGGGTTTAGTCATCCCCATTTGTGGGGAATCATCAAATCAACAACAGGGAGGAGCCTTGTCTTCACCAAGCTGGGAGGATCATCTTGCTGAGGAACATCACTCCTGCCAGCGCTGCACCTTCCTTGCCAGCAGCAGCCATTGGTGGGAAGACTGCTTTGTTTATTGCTTAATCTATCACTATTGAACTGCCTGCCTTAGGGAGGCTCAATTTAAGATAGATTGAAAGGTAGTGTCTGTCAATTGAATAAACACAGATGGTTTTCCACAGAAAAAAATTGATTTTTTTCCTTGCCAACGACATAAGCGCTAAATGTGATTATCTTTGGAAGCCAGGCGTGAAATGTCTTAGTTCCAAGCCTCTGCCACACTCCACCCTAGAAGAGAGGTGATATTACATGAGAGTGTGGGTCTATCTCACTGTAAATTTAAGTTCTTGAAGTGAAATAAAAATTTGACTTCCCTAGAGACGAGTCTGATTAAGTCCACCCCAACTAGACTTGAGTCAATCCAGCAGTTGATTCATACAATAGTTTTACCAGTCTTAGGTCACTGGCTGGCAAAGGCCTCCTCCAACCCTTTAAGTCTCAAAGAGGTTATAAGATTGCCTAAAGACACATAGCTAAACGTAGACTTCATTCTCCTCACTGTTTGGCCAAAAGCTGGGGAGGAGAACAGACACAATCCATGCCATGAGAGTAAGTAACTAAGGGAGACATTAAGATAAGTTATACTTCCAAAATGTCTTTGGAAGCAGGTAGATCAAAGATGCTTGAACAAGTTATGCTAGGTACCCAGAATGCTACATATACCTCCTTAACAACTACCTGGGAATGAAGTCACTTACACTCAAAAGTTTTGAAGAAAGTCAAGGGTAAAATTGTAGAGCAGTGGTTCAAGATAGCAAGCACATGGATACAGAAGGGTGAATAGGAAGAGTACCCTTTGTATAATGAGGACATTGAGCAATTTGTTTTCTTATGTCTCATTCAGCTCTAATTCTAAAACATAACAAGCTAATGGGACATCATTCATACAAATCATTCCAAGGAGTCCCTGAAAGTTATAAAACAGTGAGTCTCCTTTCATTTCATGAACGTGAACATGAATGTGGAGTGGCAGTTCAAGGATTTGCCAAGAGAAGTTGTTGCAAGGGTAGCAGAAGTGGGGAAACTGTGAGCATGTGGGTTCCATAAATGCTTTAGACACAGAACTAGAAATAATGATGAGACTCAGAGGCTTTTAGCAATAGAAGGGAACTTAACACTATCCTCTCATTCTAGGGATGAAAAAATGAGTCTAGAGAAGGGATATTGATAGCTAAGGTCATTTAGCTAGAGACAAAATTGGAATGTCAAGCTAAAAATCTTGGTTCTTTCAGCTACACTACCTGTCTTGATTTTGAAATTGTTCAGTGTAATTGTGGACTACCAGAAAAGCAGGCATGTCCAGCATAAAAGTTCATGCAGCAAACAGAAGTGAAGCAGTTTTACTCCAGCTAATATAACTGTAAACACACATCTTTGCAACTGTCTTGGTCCTAACTTCTAAAGATCCACAGACAGTGAGGGCTTCCTTGTATCAAGAGACAAAAATCTTTTAATATGTGTCATGTGCAAAAGAGAGCTGATTGTTCTATCTCACCTGGATGGAGAAAACTAGAACTAAAATGATCTTGGGCCCTAGCCAGTTTGGCTCAGTGGATGGAGCGTCGGCCTGCGGACTGAAGGGTCGTGGGTTCGATTCTGGTCAAGGGCATGTACCTTGGTTGTGGGCACATACCCAGGAGGGGGTGTGCAAGAGGCAGCTGATCGATGTTTCTCTCTCATTGATGTTTCTAACTCTCTATTCCTCTCCCTTCCTCTCTGTAAAAACTCAATAAAATATATTTTAAATAAAGTAAAATAAAATGATCTTGGAATGCAAGGGATATACATTAGGGCACATTTGCAGAATTTGGATTTATCATTAGCATGTTTGCAATCTGTCAAAATGGCCTGTCCTTGAATAAAAACAACAAAACAAAACAAAAAAAAACAACAAAAAAAACTTGATTCAGGTTTCTAGAGTAAGATGGTCAAATCATTTTACTCACTTAGAAAAAGAGAAATACTTAAAGCCACTATTTTTATGCACATGGGCTGTTTTGTGAATACTCTTAAGTAGAAACAATATATCTAATGTAGCTGTTTTTAACCAGTTCTTAAAGAGAAGTCCTCTGTAACTTTGTTGTACATATTCAGGTAGAAATAAATATTACTGAACTTGTATTAATTTCTTCCCGCAGATTACAGGTGAATCACTTGTTAAATGTAAACATGTTTCTACTTTCACTCAGATATGATCCTTTTTTCTCCTATGAAGCTACCGCTTCGATATAATCTAGGTAAGTACATTTGACTGAAAATCCTCTATACCAAAAATAAACACTATAGTTTATGCACTTATAATGTTTGGTGAATTGATAGCATGATCAATTCCTCCTACCCCAAAAGGATTTCTCTTCTATAGTGGAACTGAGTATAATTGGGTAACCACGAAAAGAACTTCCATCAACTTAGAATTCGGAATGTGAGATATTACTCCACAGTCACACATGGATCTTTACATATGTGTCTATGTGTTTGGTTGTGTTTTTGCCTTAGGTATTTCTCCTATGTCCTCGGTGATGTCCAACACTTAGATTTGTCTCGAACCAGTTTCTAGTGTTATCAATTTGGGGACTGTCCTTCATATATGGAACTCTTTCATACGGCCAACTTTTCATATTAGTTTCAAAAATTTTTTTCTTGCTTTGTGATTATAAATATTCCTGAAATATGACTCAAATCATAGTTTTAAAGCACTAGCTCCTGTTTAAAGAAATGACAAAGTGAAGTCTTCCACGGAGTGGACATTCAATGTATAATTTCTCTACTATATAAATTTGGTTCTTCATATAGTTTCTATGACTTAATTGGCCACACCTGTATATCAGGGTTTGATGCTTAAAATAATAATTTTCTATTTGGTATCTTTTCTTTAAAAAGGTAGTTTGCTCTATATCAGAAGTATTCACAAATTAAAATGGAAAAGGTACGCCTTGATGGGCTTTTCAAACATAACAGAGATCCATTTAGGCCTCTCCCCAACCTGCCTGTATCACTCCTCAGCTTTACAAAGGGTCTTTAGAGGGTACAGAGATAACAACAGATGTGAGGGTTCTTTACCAGCCATAGAGCAAAACCAAGGGGCCACAGCCGGGCAGGGTCAATGGTCAGTCTAGACATACCCCTCATGACAGATGTTTCCATTGATAAGACTGAAGGTGGCTGCAGAGGGGTTGGTACTCTTGAGGGAGGTCATGCAGGTGGTACTTCTGCCGGTGCTGTGAGACCGGGTTAATAGGCCAGGCTGGCAACAGAGGAGCTGGGTGTTGAACTGCTTCCTAAAACTCTTGCTCAGCAGGTAGAGGGCAAAAGGGTTGACACAGGAGTTGGTGAAGGCCAGGAGGCGGGCGCAGATACTGGTGACAAAGTGAAGCATGGAGGTGTCCACCTTGGAGTAGTGGTAGGAGCGGTACAGGTAGATGACATGGTTGGGGAGCCAGCAGAAGGCAAAGAGGCCCACAAACACTAGCACTGTCTTGGCAAGGCGCTTCCGGGATTCAATCTGAGGAGAGAGTCACACACAGAGAGGACAGAGGGACCAAGGAACAGTGTGGGAGGATTTCAGAGAAACAAAGATTCAGAGAAAAAAAAGACAGGGAAAAAGAATTAGGGAAAGAGACAAGCTCATAAAGCCATAGAAAAAGAGTTTAATAGGAGAAAGGGGACAAGAGAGAATCATAAATGAGAGAAAAGCAACAGAAACAGACAGAAAAAGAAAAAAAAGTCAGAAACACAGAAATGGAAATGCCAGGAAGCAGAAATCCATGAAGTAGAATACAGTTAGACCATGCCACTAAGAACAGATTTTTAACCAAAGTTGATTGTATGCTTGAATGGATTGCATACTGAAATTCTAGTAAATGCTCTGCTTCTTCTCAGGAGGGCATTGGTACAGTTTATCAGTCATATGACTTCATGTCTTTCTCCACAGTTAAAACTTTCTAATTCCTCTGATGCTCAAAGAAGCAATTAGCTTTGTTCTTCCTCAATGGCCAAACCAAGATAATTAGCTATATTATTATTATTATTATTATTATTATTATTATCATTATTATTATTATTATTATTATTATTATTATTTCATTTCTGGACTATACTATACAGAAAGGGTCTTAGGTAAAATGGGCTGAGCATCTCCTTTGGCTCCCTACTCCCTCTGCTACTGCAAGGGGAAGCATCTTTCTCATTAAAGAATTTGGGATACAATATACGTTCACTATTGAGAGGTCTTTCAAGTAGGGAGACAGTTTCACTAAGAACTCACCCTCCTCTTACAATTAAGGCCTCCCCCTCCCCCAGAAAGAAACTATAAAGGGTGAAGCCTCCAACTGAGTCAGCTATACATTGAAATGAATGGGGCATCTTTACGTTTCTCCATCATTAATACATAATCTACATTTGGAGTGGGAGGCAAGAACTGGCAAAGAGGAGAAAGTGAGAGCCCTGGTTTCTACAATTCTTACCTCAAGGATGAAATTATAGGGGTTTACATGGATGGGCAAGGGAGTCTAACATATATAGAGGGCATCCTGAATTCTGGGCAGTCTAAGGTGTACATATGCTCTCTTTTGCAATCCTCCAACAGCCTTACAATATAGAGGTTATTACCCTATGCCATGCATAAAGGAATTGAGGCTCAGATAAGTCATAAAACCTGGATTTGAACCTAAATCAGTGTGAGCCTGTCTTAATCAAACTACTTCTTTTTATTCAATGAGCCTCATCTTCCTGACCCCTCTGCTTTTCCCCCACATAGAAATCTTCTTCCTATCCAAACAATGTGATTGGAATTTAAATAAGTCACATTCCTGTGAGCCTCAATATTTTATTTTTTTAAATGATAAAACAACACTTTTTCAGATATTTCTCAAAAAGAAACCCATACTCCAAATCCTGCGGGTTTTCAACACTTCCCTAGCTTAGGTCTTTAATAAGACAACAAGATTATAAAGGGCACCTGAATTCCTGGGGCTTCTGTGGCTAGGAGTTTCCATTTACCATCTGGAAACTTGATCACCCATCTTCTCTAATGGCAGAATCAGGTGACATGACCATGACAATACTGTACTTGTCAGTGGAGTCCAAAAGAAATGCAAGGGATCAAACCTCCAAGTAGGAAATTAATCAATCCTGAGCACCTACCTGCTTCTTGACATGTATATTCCCTTCCACAGGCAAATTGTAAGCACTCTGGATCAGATTTTTGGCAATGAAGTAGTAGTAGACAGAAATAATCGACAGTGGGATGATGTAGAAGATCAGAAAGGAAGCCATGGAGTGGATTTTGGGATGTAGCTCATTAGAGTGTGGGTATGGGGCACAGCTGATGAAGGTCTGATTGGTGCTTTCCTCATGGAAAGGATGTAGATCAGAAAACACAGCTTCTGGAATGGCCAGAAGCATGGAGATGATCCAGATCAATGCGGCTTTGAGGCAGATCTTCATCAGGGCATGAGAGGCCTGGATATCCATTGGCCGGACGATGGCTTTGTACCTGGGGCAGGAAAGAGGAAATGTTCTGTGTAAGTTGCACAATATTATTATGGATACTAGGGCCAGGACTAGGGTGAGGCAAATGAGGCACTTGGGTGCAATATCTAAGGAGGTGCTCACTCTCAGGTTCATGCAAGTGCCCACTTGGTACACAACCCTGACAGTGAGTGGCTACTTTAGTGTTGCACCCCAAGTACCTCACTCACCTTATTCTAGTCCAGGCCCTGAAAGATGCCTTCCCCTTTCTCCAGCAGTAATGTTCTGCCCACATTCTCTCTTGATTTTAAGATTAATTCTAAGGAAAGATAAAGTTTCTTTCATTTTTCTTCTTAAATTATAAGAATTAATAACAAAGCATGTTTAAAGGACACAGGGACAAGAAGGTTCACTTTTTTTTTTTTTAACAAAGCCTTCATTTTGAGTATTCAAATGCAGTGTAGGGAACCTTAAGTCATTGAGTAATTACATATATATTTTTTTCTTTTTCAAAGTATATAGAATGAATAGCCTGCTGAAAACATTACACACAGGAGCATCCCTATAATTATCAAAGTAATCTTTCCCCAGCCCTCCTACTTCCAGCCTCATCTTCTCTTGTAGTATTTAGTCCTTCCTGGTTCCTGTGCCACATGTGTCCCTGTCTTAGATCAAGTGTCTTTGACTTGACACTAGGATGAAGTCAGGAGGACAAAGAGTTTATTGAGGAGTAATACCTGTGAAAGGAAAAAGGGAAGGAAACAGGATTGGGCACAGGGAGCTGTCAGACTCTGCTACAGACCTGACAAGGTCTACACCAGTCAAGGTGACTAACCATCTTAGCTTGCCTGAAAATTTCCCAGTTTTAGCACTGAAAGTCCTACATCCTGGAAAATCTCTGAGTCCCAGTAAATTGAAACTGTTGGTTACCCAACACCAGTTCAGTGGGAAGCTCAGGAGCAAAGATTGTCCAATGAAGGAGTCCTATCTTGGATAGAATTGCCAGGCCCTTTGTATCACCACCTTGCTTAGCTGAGGTCACATGCTTTTGGCCACCCAAAAAGAGTGTGACATCAGTTACTATCTGGTTCAGTCACTGGGTAGGAACTGTCTAAGAAGAACATGACTATAGCTTGAAAGCTTAAGTGGGCCCTGGTTTAATTTCTTTTAACCAGTATGTCCTGTTTCTAAATTCTCCATTCCTTTCCTGTCTCCCTCTTTTCTTCATGCCCAATCCCAGAGTTTCCATTCATCTGAATTCTACCCTTCCAAATTCCAGTTTATAAGTATCAACTTGATAAAGCTTTTGCCAGCCAATCTGCACCTCAATCATTCCTGTTCTTTCTCCTAACCTGTTTAATTTTATGACAGGATTATTGACTCTTCTCATTTTATGCTTACTATGCACTATCTTGAATTGTTTTCTAGATTTCCATGGATCTACTTGACTTTTTTTACTTGACTTTCTCATAGGTTTCCTGAAGTCAGAAACTTATATCTTCTCCTCTTCTCTTCTGTCTATAATTCTAAAAATACTCCAGGTCCCTTGTCCTGCATACCACTTATTTCAAAGTAGATGTGCAGCAAATACTTACTAATTGATCAATAATATGTGACTTGCAGATGCATCTCTTATTTCAACTCCTCACAAATGAGAGAGAACAGATCCACTTTTACATATTTAGTAAGCATCATTCTTCCATAGAGTGACAAATTCACTCTTGTGATAATTTGGGGCTCATGACAATTGTTTCCCACTTTTGAAAACATCTGTGCTTCATTTTTTAAATGCAAACATTGAAAAGGTCAAAAATGTTCTTTGCAACAAGATTAATGTGTGAAAGCTATTCTTGGCAAGTAGCAGTAGCTGGCTCCCACACCCACAGTTGGAAGGAAACCTTTGTCCACAGAAAGGTTTGTCTTTTATTCAAATATGGGCAGTTTGTCTATTTTTAAGGATCCAGTATTTCAGCCCTTATTTGTCCATAATCACCTTCTGAAGTCCGTAGGAATTGTAGAACAAGAATCCTTTTTAAATGTCCATTACAATTCTAATGCACACTACCTAGAGAAGACTGAGGTGAAGAGAAAACCAAATGAACTAAATGAATCTCTAGGGTAAATGACAAATTGTCAACCTTTAAATTAGAATTTTAATACCTAATAATAATATAACAATTGATGAAACTATTAAACATTGGCTTTATTTTCTCCTGAGGATAACACCAATAATGTTTCTGAAGAAATGTGAAGCAATTATTAGCTGGCTTATAAAATGACTATAATCCAGAGCAATGGAATCTTTTTAAAAATATATATTTTTATTGGTTTTGGAGAGGAAGGGAGAGGGAGAGAGAGAGATAGAAATATCAATGATGAGAGAAAATCACTGATCTGCTGCCTCCTGTATGCCCCACATTAGGGATTGAGCCCACAACCCAGGCATGTGCCCTGACTGGGAATTGAAGAGCAACCTCTTAGTTCATAGGTCGACACAGCTACTGAGCCATGCTGGCCGGGCTAGAGCAATGTAATCTTATCTCCCTTTGTGCCATTACTCTCCAAATGGAGAACTTGATGATCCTGGGTACCCATGAAGTCATTATCTTTAAGCATGTAACATATTCCAGTCATCCTTTTCTGTTCTTCACTCCAGATCAAATAACTCCAATGTTGTTTATTGTGTTACTCCTTTTTAAAATACTCCAGTTTCCTCTGGGCTCTAATATGAACTTGGGACCACACAGATCTGATTCTTAATGGTGATGTTACCAACTAGCTTTATGGTCTTGAACAAATCACATACTCTTTGCACCTCAATATTTTTATCCCTGAACCTTCAGTATAATTAATAACTGACTCAGGCAAAAATCATGAAACCAGCAAGGGAGAGATTTTAGGGAAAACAATATTCACATAATCTCAAAGAGTCTCCCTGTAGATTACGATCTAATTGCAAAGGGGAAAATGTACCTTCATGATGGGGCAATCTGGAGGTCATCTCTTTTAATCAAATGGTCAAACCCAGGGTGAACTTCTCCATTAGCCAGAGTAGGCTTAAAGTCTGGGGCCCATGACATCTTTAGGAGCTCAGGAAAATGTTTTAATTTCTTTTAAAACCAGAAGAGCACTAGCTGGTTTGCTCAGTGGATAGAGCATCCGCCTGCAGACTAAAGGGTCCCAGGTTCAATTCCGGTCAAGGGCACATCTTCAAGTTGCGGGCTCAATCCCCAGACGGGGGTGTGCAGGAGGCAATTAATCAATGATTCTCTCTCATCATTGATGTTTCTACCTCTCTCTCCCTCTCCTTTCCTCTCTGAAATAAATAAAGATATATTTTGAAAAATAAGGAGAAAAATGAATTATATTAATCCCTATGCCAATACAATTATAAAATATAATTCTTAATATTTTTATGAAGAAAGGTTCTCATAAAAGTAAAGTGCCAATGACCCATGAAATTCATAAAATGGCCCTGATCAAATTGAGCATCACCAATAGTGGGACAATCTAAGATCTTGTACCTCCTGATGCAATGCAATAGGAAGAACATAACATTGCCTATACAGTATTCTTGCTCCCAACTTTAAAATTTTTATTTTATTTATTTTTAAATTTAATTTATTTTTCCATCACCATTTATCTTCTCTGTGCCCTCTTCTACCTCCCCCCTTTCCTCTCCCTCCCTCCATCACTCTCCACACACCCCAACACCCCACTCCCCCTGCCCTGCAACAGAGCTGTCTGCCTGCTCTCTATGAGTCTGTCTCTATTTTGTTTGATAGTTCAGTTTGTTCATTAAATTCCACATATGAGTGAAATCACATGGTACTTGTCTTTCTCTGACTGGCTTATTTCACTTAGCATAATGTTCTCCAGGTCTATCCATGTTGTCACAAAGGGTAAAATTTTCTTTTTTTATGGTAGAGTAGTATTCCATTGTGTAAATGTACCACATCTTTTTTATCCACTCATCTACTGATGGACACTTGTCCCCATTTTTTTTAACTTTAATTTAACTAATGAGGAAACAGACAAATCCAATCCTGGCACATTCTACAAAATAACTCACTTGTATTCATCAAAGCAAGTCAATATCATTTAAAAAAATTTAAACATCACCTGAGGATATGTTTTCATTGAGTTTTAGAGGAGAGAGAGAGAGAGAGAGAGAGAGAGAGAGAGAGAGAGAGAGAGAGAGAGAGAGAGAAACATCAATTGGTTGCCTCCCATAGGCATCCTGACCGGGGACGGAGCCCACAACCTAGGCTACGGGACGATGCTCCCACCAATTGAGCCACCAGGCCAGGGCAGTCAACATCATTATTTTAGAAGAATTCGAGGGAGCTATTGTTTTATCTTAAAAAGATTTAAAAAATATAACAAGCAATCCTTTTGCCAATATATACTTATACCAAATCATTATGTTGTATACCTTAAACTTATCCAGTGTTACTGGGGAAAAAAGAGAGCTATAACAACCAAATGCAATGCATGTGCTTTGATTTGATCCTAGATTTTTTTAAAAAGCTATAAAAAAGCTATAAAAGACATTTTCTGGGACAGTGGGGGAAATTTGATTATAGTTGCCTATTAGATGGCATTAAGGAATTATTGTTAATTTCATTAGGTATGATAATGGCATTGGGATTATGTAGAAGAGTGTCCTTGTTCTTAGGAAATACACACTGAAATAAATACTTAGGAGTAAAAGGTCAGAGTGTTTGCTCCTTATTTTCCATAGTTGAGCAAAACAAAAGAAACACACACACACACATGCTTTTTAGAAAAAGCACAAGAATAAAATTCACCTTCTTGTAAATTGCAATTTCCCTTCCATTGTGTTCTCTCCCTGTAGGCACCCATTTTCTCTGTGAGAGCAACCCTACTTTGGGAAGGTGAGTGCATGTCAGTCATTTGCTCTTTAGTGTGGATCGAAGTCAATGTGATCACCGTATGTAAAGTCCTACCTCTAATTACAACGTGCCAAAGAGATACATTTTGGGGTGGCAAATTGTGCTCCCC